ACATGTTTATCTTGTGCTGGAATATCACAGGTGGCTGTAAGTCGAGGCAAATCGCTTGTGGAGAGAGTTGTTAAGGAACAAGTGAGGCAATCTTTATCATGGCTTGTTTGTGAATGAACTCTTGAGTGAAGTCTTGAGTGGTTTATCAGTGCTCTGATTGAGGTTTTCTGTTCTGTTTTAGGAACGTGTTCAGATGAATGGGATCTTGGCCAATGCTGTGGAATGGGGAGTCAAAGTCCTGCATGTTGACGGTATTGTCTTTATCATCATTAATACTTGTATTGTTAGAGAAGTGAGATATGGTTTCACTATTTCATGATGTTTGATGCTTGACTTCCAAACAGATGTTATTTCTTATGTTGACCAGAAGAAATCAAAACTCATTGCAGTGAACGCAGCTAATCCAGTGGTGAAAAGAGCTGTGAGTAGTTTTTTTGTTCGTAGCACATTTTATTATATTTGTTTATATTAAGAACCAAATGTAAAAATTTAAAAACGAACCACTGTAAAAACATTGTTCAACCACTTTTCTGAATATTGTGTGTAGTAAACAACTATAAAATTTGTTGTTTACTGTCCTAAAGACTAAACTGAAACATTTGAACCTGATCTTTTAACATTCACCAGAAAATTACTCATGTGGAATCTGCACAGGTTTTCACAATTTCTGCCCTGATTGGGAAATCTATGGAATATAAATTTGGCTGCAAAGTGAGAAATCTGTGGAGCTGCAGACTCTGTGCAGCGCTACAAATAAACTTGTTATTTCTGTATATATTCAGTTTATCACTCTTCATTTTTAGGCCAGCATTCAGCACACAGACAAAAATACACACAGACACAATGGTAAGTAGAGAGTAAAGAACCTGTTTTAATATGTTGCATCCTCCAGTTGAAAAAGTTGAATATATAGCAGTCTTTATTTGATTTAGTTTTTGTTTTTTATTTCCAGCTGAAAGAATTTGTCGTCCATTTGTGAAAATAGAAGACTCAAGCAGGTGCGTTTCCTTTTCTTGTTTTTCTTGTTTCACATTAGTTGTCAAATTCAATAACAGTCTGTGATATTGTTTACTGTGATACTGTGTGATATTGTGATACTGTTTTTGCAGGCATTATTGTCCCATCTACCTTCCCCTGTCCAACACGCCTGTGTGCAACCTCCGATCTATTCCACCTTGCTGTCCATTCCTGATGGATGAACATGGAAAAGAAGATCCAAAGAGACAGAAAGAGCAAAGGTACAATGAGAATCAGAAATGTCTTTTTGTAATGCAGGCATTTTTGAGAGTGTGTCTGTGTGTGAATGAGAATCTTTTTTGCCTCAGGTCTGGAGGGGAACGAGGAATTAGAGGAAAGAAAGGCAGGCGCAGAGGACATGAAGGGAGAGAAAAGAGGAAAGGAGGGTACTGCGAGTGCTGTGAGGTCAGATTCGACAACCTAAAGATGGTAGGTGTTGGAAACAAGAGAAAGGCAGTCAATTTTAAATTAACACTTTGCATATGCTGTTTCTCATCTGAAAACAAACAAACAGTAATTATACATTTTGGGCTGAACCAGGATTTGCATAAAATACATGACATTTGTGCTCACCTGTTCTGACCTTCTGACCACCAGCACCTAGAGAGTGACCAGCATCAGGCTTTCTCTAAGAGTGAGGAGTACACAGTTGTGGATCGAGTAACTGCGGGGCTGACCTGCGACCTTACTAACATTGGCACACACAGCAGAAGGTACAAACGTCTTTAAAAATTGTAGTTTTCCTTATCGTTTACCTTTTTTTTTTTTTTTACTGGCCTTATGACAGCACTAATTTCAATTAGGGCTGCACGATAAATCGCATGCGATATTTAACGCGCATCTTGTCAGTAAAGTCGGTTCTTTAATCAGCGGTAAATCTCCATCACCTACGGGCTTTCACATGGAGCAGCTTTAAAGGGATAGTTCACCCAAAAAGGAAAATTTGATGTTTATCTGCTTACCCCCAGGGCATCCAAGATGTAGGTGACTTTATTTCTTCAGTAGAACACATTTGATGATTTTTAAGTCCAACCGTTGCAGTCTCAGTCGTATAATGGATGGCAATGGTAACAAAATCTATGAGTGTAAAAAAAACAGACAAATCCAAATTAAACCCTGCGGCTCGTGACGACACATTGATGTCCTAAGACACGAAACGATCGGTTTGTGCGAGAAACCGAACAGTATTTATATAATTTTTTACCTCTAATTCACCACCATGTCCAACTGTCTTTGGGCGCACGCACGACTTTCGGTGCGTGAGGTGTACGCGCTCTGGTGTAGTTTACGCAAGCGCCGGAAGTGATCTCTCGCGCGTATACGTCACTCATTGTTTGCACAGTCATTGTAGGTACGACGGCTAATCAAAATGGTACTTAGTCTGTCGTTTGCTCCTCCCGCGACAACACTCATTAATGTAAACTACGCCAGAGCGCGTACACCTCACGCACCGGAAGTCGTGCGCGTGCCCAAAGACAGTTGGACATGGTGGTGAATTAGAGGTAAAAAATTATATAAATACTGTTCGTCCCTCTGCCATAGGGTGAAATGCAGTACATCAACCCCTGTTCTGTGTGCTGGAGCCATGTTGCCTGTAAAGGAAGATGTGGGATCTGTAAATGGTGATTGGAAACAGGAAAGCAACGGGTCTTTGCTTTGGAGCTCTACAGCAAAGCAACCTCTTTCAGAACAGACCAGAGAAAAACCTCTGTTGGTTCGCAAACGCAGCAGAGGCCAGTGTGATTTCCCTCTGAGCAACAGGGACAGCTTTTTCGACCAATCCGATGTTCCTGAGAAGTCCCAGTCTAAGCGTGGATCCTTTGAGTGGGAATTCCACTCACAATCTGTTGTGCGGAAATCTGAAGGTGCATCTTTTCTCAGCAGAGAGCAGAACTGTGACTCTAATGCACCTGAATGCAGGACAGACCAACAATCCAGGACAAACCCTGACATGTGCACAGCTCAACAGTTCAGTGAAAGAAACCGAGAATCATTAACAGCATTTGAGTACTTTAGGACTAACTCCTGTGAAGTTTATTTGCAAAGTATGCCAGAAAATCAAGTTGAAAATTCAGCTCTTTGGCCTTTAGGCAGCACAGAACCCGAACCGGACCTCGATAGCCCCACTAATTCACTGCAACGGAAGGTTCGGAATGTCAGATCCAGAAGAAGAAAGCAAGTACCAGCCTTGCACATCGAATCTAGTAAAGAGAGAGAATCATTGAGCTCTCTTACACCTGTTAAACCTGTACTGGAGTGCGAGAACCCACCTGGTTATCTCCTGGACCTGTGGCAGCTCTTTCAGTCCAGTGACAACATGGATGAAGATTTTAAGGGTTTTTGAGATTAAAGCTGAGTAGAGGAATTTAACACGTATGTATGTGTTGTAAAAGTTATTACTGTGCCAAATAATATATAGTAATAAATAGGGCTGCACAATAAATCGCATGCGATATTTATCGCATGCGATTAATCGTGCAGCCCTAGTAATAAATCTGTTTTCTTTCATCAGTACGATGGAAAACGGCATTCTTACTATACAGGCTTTAAAAGAAAACTTATAGACCGAAAAATACCTACTGACTTTATACAGTAAATAAATGAGTGGAGATACTCAGCATGTACATTTGATGAGTGGATATAATTGAATGATATAACAGCATCAGATTTTCTTAACATGTTTTCCTGGTTCCTGTATTAAATTGCAAATATTTTTTTACAATGCTTTAAGTATTGATTTTTCTTTCTTTTTGTGTGTCTCTATCATGGTTATAAGCACCAGTGTTGTGCAAAAAAAAAAAAAAACAACATTTTAAGAAGTCTTCTGATTTGCCATGGGTTTCTATTTAACAGTGTATAATGTGTGATAAGTACTTTGGGGGTGTATTCATAACATCTGTATGAGAAAGGCTCTTTCCATTATCATCAGTGTTTCAAGACTTCAGTCCGATTAATATTCTATACACACTACTGTTCAAACATTTGGGGTTGGTAAGATTTTTTTTATCTAATGAATACATTTATTCAGCAAGGTGCATTAAATTCATCAAAAGTAATAGGAAAGACTTACATAAAAGAAGAAAAAGCTGTAGTTTTAATTTTAATCACTTCATCAAATCCCAACAAAGTTTTCACAAAGATATTAAGGAGCACAGCTGTTTTCAGCATTTTTTTCTTGTGCAACAAATTAGCATATTCAGAAGGATCACGTGACACTGAAGACTGGAGTAAAGATGCTGAAAATTCAGCTTTGCCATCACAGCAATGAATTAGATTTCATAACTTATAAATATTCACTTGTAATGATTTACTTTCAAGTCAATGCAGCATTGGTGAGCAGAGGCTTGTTTCAAAAACTTAACGGTTTAAAAATCCAACCAACCGCAAACTTTTGAATGGTAGTGTAAATACTCAAATTAACCACTTTTGTATATGACATCAAATATATTATACAAATGGAAATTCTGTGTTATTGTTTCAAATTCCATCTCTGTTTTAAAGACTTGCTTATAGGCTAATGAAAAATGTATTTAAAACAACGTGTTTATTCCCAGGGTATTTATTTATACCTGGTATTTTACATCAGTAAAAACCCTCGGATTTGTTTTAAATGTCTTCCATAGCTATTTGTTTATTTAGTTAATTACTGTAAACTTCGCAGCAATCGCAGAATTTTTCTGTTTTTGTTTTATGGTTTTATTTTTGCTCTTTTCTTGTTAATCTGAACATTATGAAATTATTAGTGCATAAAGCGTCATTATTCCCTGTATGGTTGCATACTAAAGGACGTTACGTTATTGAATAATTTGTAGTACGTTTCCATATCAACCACTGTTTCACTGTTCTTACGCACCCTGCGGGATCTTGATCTGTTTGGCGCAGAAGGTGAAAGCAGGTGGCGCGTAAACTACACTACCCGTCATCCCGACTGGAGCTCGCTCATGTATATTTATGAGGCGTTTCTGCAGTGAGGCGGATGGATATTATTGATGTCTTGCTGAGTAGGTGGTGGCTTCTGGTCGGTGAAGGAAAAAGGGCCTGATTTTAGTTTTCCAGAACGCACCCGCCTTCGACCAGTTACCAGCACGGTGCAGAGGCTGCTCGCGCGTCACTAATGGCAACCAGCGCGCGAAAGGATGAGTGTGCGTGCCTTCCTGAGGGAGAACGTAAATCGCGTATAACTTGGGATTTAACTCGTATATCGTATAATTTGGGATGTATATTATTAACCGCGATTTTCTGAAGCGAATGGATGCGGGAATGATGCCTCTCCGTGTCGGTATTTCCTCTCTGTGTCTCTTTGTAGCGGTGATGAGCTCTGTGATACATACCAGCATCTCCCTGCCTCATTACGGTGAGGGTGCATTTTTATATATTTCATAACGAAACAAAATAATTATGGCGTATTTTTTACCATATTAGTGTCGTATTTTACTCCCCCCATATTCGTTTCAGACGATGTAAACAACTATAGGCTACATGTAACGGTAAATAGTCGACCCTGAGCCGTGGTTTATCATTATTTATCCTATCTAAACAGAATATTATGTCCAATTTCATACGTGTACCTCGAGAGAAAAATCTGTACGTTAGGTGATAAAAATATGCTGCCGTGTTTTTATTATTTTAGGAGACGCCTTGGTAAAAACGAGGGCTCGGCGTGATGACGCCAGGTTCCTCGGGAGAGAGAACACGGTACCGGTCCGGTTAGTGTACCGAATGGACGGAGACAGTCAGGCCGCTCATGATGTTCTCAACACACGGGTCCGAATGAGCTCTGACACTAAACAGGTGTGTATTTTTTTTTTATCTCATGTTCGAGTGTCATCTGTGTATCACAAGGATGCTCTCTCCTCCCTTTGCCATTGGAGACACGCTGCTCTTGCAATGATGTTTATGTTTTTCTCGTTTACTCTCTTTCCGAGTCTTATAGTCAGACTCTGGGTGGTCTGAGAGCTCTGTGAAGATAATTCCAGTCATTTAAGGGTGATCTAATAAACCAAAACAGCACATTTCATCAGAAGATGCTGATGCTTCGGCCTCCTGAGGTATCTCGTGGCATCACAGCTTTGGAAACACAAAGGACACAGAAAGAACAAATGAGCAGCTCCTGTGTTGGAGCATTATCAGCCTAAATAAATATTGTATTATACTTTTACATTATTATATACTATAGAAACATCAGAGACTGATTAATGATGTAACTCCATCCATTATTCAGCAAAACACTGAATCAGGGACTCAAAACCTGGGCCATGATGATAAAAAGAAAACAATAAACTGGCAAATGTACGTTGTATTTGGATTCTCGGTTGAGCGTGTAATGCTATTAGAGGTTTATGGACATGCCATTTCTTTTGTTCTTGCTTTTCCTGTCTTGAAAGATAAGACTGTGAGCTGATATCACTATAACTCATAAATTAGCTTTATTTAATGTTTGAACGTAAACGTTATGTAACTGGTAAAAAGATTTTTAGAATGTTTTTGAAAGAAGCATTTTAGGCTCACCAAGGCTGCATTTATTTCATCAAAATATAGTAAAAACAGTAATATTGTGAAATATTACAATTTAAAATAACTGTTTTCTGTTTGAATGAAATATCATCTCTTCCTGCAATGGCAAAGTTGAATTCTCAGCAGCCATTACTTCATTACAGTGTCACATGAGTCTTCAGAGATCATGCTAATATGCTGATTAGAATGATTTTTGAGTGAAAGCTTAAAAAGTCTAAGCCTTTTTTGTCCATCCTGACTGCTCAGGTACTCTGTTGCTCATACTTTGTGTGACTGAATAATTCACAAAGGCACAGATATGCAATTGCTTGTGGCCTTGTTAATGTAACGAGTCTCTTTGACTGGTTAGAATGTCTGTACATGTGTCCTAGCATCGCTGTTTTGAGCTTTGGGCTGTGTGTCCACGTGTGGGGCTTAACCCTTTGTCTGACGTGTGCAGCTGAGCTCTGTGTAATTCACTCGAAGGCTTTTTCATCATGTCATGCATTGTATTGATTTAATCATTGTGGTGTTATATATGGTTCTACATTAGAGATTGGATTAGAAGCATATGCCAATGAAATAAATTTGATCATAAATACATTCTACAATACAAACTACGCTTAGGTCTGTTTTTAGCTCCACTTTTGGCTTACAATTGGATCTTTTTGAAGATGGTTTTATTTATAGAAATTCACTGATGCCTGAAAAAAAAAACAAAGAAAGAGAAGCTTGCTAATTTTAGATCTTCTTTTTTTAACGCAAAATGTAGATCAGAAATTATTTTTTTTTAAGTTGAGCAGTTTAAAACAATAATATGATGAAACGGCAATCGATGATGCCAAAGACAGGCTAATGGACAGAAAGCTGCAGCCCTCTCATCTTACACATTTTCTAGAAAACACTCTGAGTCTCTTTATTAGATTTGTGTGTTATAGTGTTATTGTGCATCTTGTTTAGACTTGACACACAAATACACACTCGAGGAGCAGTAGATGGATGTGGGTGTGACTCGGGGAGGGTAGCTTCATTCAGGGGGTCACTGATGGGTGAAATATATAGGATCTCCCCCTCCGCATTTCTTCCACCCCTTCGTTTTCCTTCCATTTTTATTGTTAACTACGCTTTGCTGGTTTAGGGAGAGGTGTGGTCCCTTGGAGGTGTTAGACTCCCCTCACCTCCCTCATATGCTTCAGACACACCAAATATGTTCTAATTTTTATAGTTTTTATTGTCTCGGCTTATGTGTGGCACCTTGAGATTTTCTTTTTGAAATAAATATATACTTTTGATTAGCAAGAAAGAATGCATTCAATTGAGCAAAAAGTGAATTTTACAATTTCTGCTTCAAATAAATTTTATTTTTTGTGAATTTTCTATTCAAAGAATCCTGAAAAAAGTCTGTCAAGGATTCCACAAAGTTATTAAGCAGCACAGCTGTTTTCAACATTGATAATAATAAAAAATGTTTCTTGAGTGCAAATCAGAATATTAGAGTAATTTCTGAAAGATTATGTGATGCTAGCTTTGTTTACATACAACCAAATAATCCATTAGTAATTCAATTGATGCTCAATCAGATTCAAAAAGCCTTCATGTTAATACCTCAATGCGAATGAAATTTAGATTGGATTGAAAGGGTGGTGCTGAACTGAAAGAATCCAATCAATAGTAAAAAAACTAGGCATTTAAACACTTGAATACAACTATCTTCTTAATCGGATTCAAAAATACCTTGAAGGTTTGTAGCTTAAAAAGTAGGACGTTGCAGTTTAGGGTCCGCGATATCTTTATATGATCTTATTTGCAAAAGATTTGAAATAATTTTGGTTTATTTGTATTTAGTTTTCGTTTTTTGTTTGTTTTAATAGCAATATCTGGCAACACTGCATCGCCGGCACTTAAACTGACAGTAATAAAAAAAAAAAAAACATGGACAGGTTATTGCTGACAGGATTCCACAATCGGTCAGAAACGTTATCAACGCTGTCAAAACAGTAGCTTTTAAAACCAGGGTTCCCACGCTTCTTGAAATGACTTGAAAGTACTTGAATTTCAGACATATGGATTCAAGGCCTGGAAAGTACTTGAAAACAAACATAGGTCCTTGAAAGTGCTTGAATTAAATTTGAAATTAATTTTGTTTACGCAGGGATTAAAATTTTCCGTCGCTACGACGGATTTCCATCAATTGGAAAAAAAAATGAGGGGAAAAGAAACATGTAGCGCATATTTGTTGTTATTGTTGTTCTGCCGGCACACCAAAAATCATTCCTGGCCACGGCTGCAGCTTCTCAGTGACAACATAGTGATGCCGCTCGCATCATTCACAGTTGGGTTATTAGCAGAGAGCACAGAGCAGGACTTGATTTTCGCCGCGGGATTGCGGCTATTAATAACAATTGTACTCATTCCCGCAGGTTCCACGCTTATAACGCGATGACAGATGACGGAACGTATCATTTGCACGTGCTTTTGAGTCTT